GTAAACGCCCTGAGAGCTACAAGGGTTTTCGTACAACGTTGACGGTTTTGCATGCAGGACTTGCCCTACTGTATACCATCTTCTTGAAGAAAAACAGTGGAGGAAAAAGGTGGTGGTTTCTCGTACAGCCTGATAGGCTGTTACGATACTTTTTAATTAGTGTCAGGTGAGTAAAGGCCGCTCCGACAAAACTGGAAAGTCATATATTGTGATCCGAAAGCGTTATCAGCCGCTGCCTACTTGCTACAATACCAAACTCAAATTAGCGTTATTGCAAGACCCATTCTGTCAGATTAAAATTTGTTAAGAAAGAATACTACCACCAAATAGTTTTCCACCACTGGGTCAAATGAATTATTCAAACCTGCCTTATCCCCTACTAATTAACAGCACGCCATCTGGTTGAATTAAGATTAATTTCTGAAGAAATGCTGCATAATGTACCACAATTGCGTAGATTCAGTACGCTGCTGTAGGCCGGACGGATAGCTAGAACAAACTTTTGCTATACTCTCGACGCCTGTTAGGGGTCTCGTAGCTCAGTTAGTCAGAGCATTGGCTGTACGGAAGCCAGCCCCCCCTTCGAATCCCACCGAGGCCACAGCATCTTTTGAAATTTGGTCAAAAGAAATAGCAAAAAGGCAATCGGGAAATACGGTCGACAAGGACAGTGACGAAAGTGAAAGCCACTTCCGGAGTTGTTGCCATAATCATTCGAAGTATTCTTGCAATAGGAATGCCACATGTCTTGTTACTCAAACGGAACTTAGGGAGAACAGCCGCCTGTATCATTTTGTGTGCAGGACAGGCACTAAACAAACTTCGGAATAAACATTTATTAAAATACAAGATGACAAATCCTTGTAAACCAACTCATTCACGCCTAAAATGCAATCTGAGCCATAGCTGAATATATATTTTCATAGAGGATCATTAGAAATGGAAAACAAGTAGTCGAATATTTGCTCATATTCCGTTAACGGCATAAAATTCACATTTGATGACGAAAAATGTGCCCCCATT